ATTTGTTTGGATCATATACGCGCCACAGTGAAAGACGAAAAAACAACAACTGAAGGTTAAAGCTGGTTCCGAGGAGATGTAAAGCGGGGTTTGGTGAAGACAATTCATTCGTGAACTTCTAATAAAAACGAGCCATCAATGTTTTTTTGTGCATCACACACCCCACCTCTATTTGTAACAGAATATGTTCGTAAATTTCAGGTTGACACAATATCTTCAATGGGCCAGCTTATATTGCGGGATAACTGGCCGATCCAGAAAGTGTAGCAAACCAAATTCGCTCAGTGCCTTTCAGCACTTACCTCAGGTGGAACCTAATGGATTAATGGAAATCAAATCTAACGTGCGAAGCAGCGACAACACATCGCACTCCCTCCAGAGCGGCGAAGCGTGGCCAACGTCACTTAGTGGTTATAGCGACACAACTTCAAGAAATTAGAAAAAAAGGCAGAAAAATACTATAAAATAGAAAAGGATAAAGGATAAAGCATTTGCCGTTGATCAATCCCTTTTGGGATGCGGCACGCATTCTACTTCCATTTGTACATTCGTAGTGGCGTTTGAATGCGATGTGGCCTATACAATGACTTGCGGGGCCAGCCGATGTACAAGTCAGTGTTTTTATCCTCCCAGACAAGTCTGGTACCAATTAACCGACCCCGGAGGGATGGAAGGCTTGGTTGGCCCGGGCGACTCACGACCCAGGATTTGATCCCCGGACCGCTCGCGTGGTAAGCGCGCCACTTGCCACTACACCACTTCCGCCCTAAAATAGAAATAAATGTGAAAAATAGTCTTATTAAATTGCTATATTTGAAAGCTCATTTGAAATGCAACCTCACCTGATATTATTTGAAAATAAATATTGTTTGACCATTGAGCTCCACGGCAATCCAAAGTATCAGCAGGATTCAGAACAGTTTTCATCGGACGACTGAATGATGGCATTTCTCGTAATCGAACCCTGAAATCCGGCACACAAAAAATACGAATAACGGATGAAAACAAAAGTTTACCCACTGGTTCATTGTCAGTCGTTGTCCATATATCTCTGCATAAAGATGAATGCACTGCAACGTTAAATCTCCAATGGGCGTATGCTTCGACGCTGGACATTCAAACAGGACCCTCCAATTTTCTCGCTGAAACAGTTCATTTGAGATGCTTTCATGCTTTATTTGAGCCGCATGTCGCAGGTCGCGACGTCAGTGCTTGCGCGACCATTAGGCGGAAGGCACTTATTCGTGAAAATCCCGAAAGTAACTACATGCCGACTAAGCGACAGCGCAGTCGGAGAATGAAACGGTTGCTATGACCGCAGCCTAGCGATCAAGCAAATATTATATTTCGCAAGCACACATTGGAAAGAGTTGTTTCAATAAAATAAAATTTAAAAAAAAACAGTCAAGCAAAAAACTAACATTTGGTTCTTCCAAATCAAACTGAACAATGCGAATGAGCTTTTCGTCATCCTTCAATGGAGGCCTCAGTTTGATTCCAACCTAAAAATTGACATTATGTTAGGTTGGCAAAAAAAAGTCTTGGTCGAATTTTGACCTTCATTTCAAAAACGCACAATTTTCTTAGATTAGGATCTCATCCTATTGCAGGTACGCATTTATCATTGATGAACTACAATAGAACATAATATAATATTGTGGGCTATCAAAGTGAACATATAAATAGGTTGAGATCCTATTCTTAAAAAAATGAGCGTTTTCAAGATGAAACTCAATTTCAACCAAGACTTGTTCCCCAGCCTAATACAATGAAAACGCTCAACTAACAAAACACCCACTTTGAAAACATTATCAAGAGCGCTTCGAATATTCTCTTCATCTTTGTTGTTGCATTCGTAACCTTTGTCATCTTCCTCAAATGGAAACTCAATTAAATCAATCGAATTGTGTGTATACTGGTGTAGGTCGAATCAGAATATGAAAGGATCGAGAAATGCCGTAATCTCACCCTGTAGTGCTTTATAAGAACGAATTGCGTTGGTTCTATAGAGAGTTTCTGCCCCAACCAGCTCTTCAACTTCTCAAATGGCAATCGTGAATCGACATCAAGGTACAAAACTAAAGCGCTCGAAATGATGAATAGGATCGACCCAAATCATTAGAGTACGATTTGACTCACGGTTTCCCGTTGAAGACGTAAGTTCGACAATACTGCGGCTCGAATCAGAACTGGGAGTGCTAGCTATAGGTACAGGAGTAACATCGGACGATTCAGTCATAGAGCGTGCTCCAACTTGGGATTCGAGCAATTCTTCAGCAGCGCTTCCTTTGACGAAACTTCCAAACGACTACAATTCATGAGTATTGAAAAGAGAATTTGGTTTTGGTGTACTAGTTGTGGGTACCAGGACGCAGCAGACCACCTGAGCAACAGAGATCCGAAGGGGACTAGGCATGTGCTAAAGTTAACCCTTTCCAAACCGCCCGACACCCATGGGGTGTCTGGGCTAATTTTTCCGAGGATTCGGTTTTTCGACAAAATATCAAACTAATTCCTAAAATAACCAAAAACTAAATGGATTTCCACTTTGAGCTGAGAAAACAGTTATAAATCATTTGAAAACACTTCATACAACAGAATTTATGCCATCACGTGCACGTCGTATCTGATGCTATTGCATCCAAACGTTTCGGACATTTCTGGTCCCTTTTCCCCCACTACAACTTATTTTGAACAATTTTCACTGCTGCCTCCCTTTGTCAAATTCACCGTATAGACACCTTTAGACATGACAATACAAAAACGGGACAAAACAATGGTATTGATGGAAATAGAGGTCAAATATAATATACCAGCTTGGTCCCCCGTCAACCGCCGGAACCTTTACGACTTAGAATGACATACCAAAACCTAACCTCACCCTAGGTCTGTTGGTGATTGGTTTTCCGCTTCCCTTCCCCAAACACCCTCCCTCCCTCCACTGTACTGCAGCACCATGTGGAATGACCGGAAGTGTGCTCATTAGGTGTTTATATAGCCGTTGGGGTGTTATCACAATCATGCCATTGCAAAACATTGATAGCTCAAGTCCTGCGAGCTACTCAGATTTGCTATTCCATGCTCCCTTATCACTCACTTCGGACACTTCACTTGCGGACGGACAGACAGACAGACATACATAAAGGATAAAGGATAAAGCATTTGCCGTTGATCAATCCCTTTTTGGGATGCGGCACGCATTCTACTTCCATTTGTACATTCGTAGTGGCGTTTGAATGCGATGTGGCCTATACAATGACTTGCGGGGGCCAGCCGATGTACAAGTCAGTGTTTTTATCCTCCCAGACAAGTCTGGTACCAATTAACCGACCCCGGAGGGATGGAAGGCTTGGTTGGCCCGGGCGACTCACGACCCAGGATTTGATCCCCGGACCGCTCGCGTGGTAAGCGTGCCACTTGCCACTACACCACTTCCGCCCTACAGACATACATACGTACAGACTACATATAAACCGACACACCAAGTTAGCGCTTTATAAAACAGAAGGATTTATATTCGCCGCGCATGGCGCGGCTTTCAGCATAAAAAGGCGTCGACCACACGCGCCCGCCATGGCAAAATTGCGAACTCTGAAAAGGGTTAAAGGATTTCTGGTGTTGGAAGCCTCGAGTGCTCTGTGCCGCAACGCCTTTTCCCTAATACACCAGCGCCAGACTCAACTACAGGCAAAGAGCAGAAGTGAGAATATGACGTTTTAACGAAAGAATTCTGTACAGATCAGCCTGATCTCGCAATTTGCAATAACCAAAAATAGTTCCAAAAATGCCCCTACCCAAAACACCTCTAACCGTGCAACAGAGTCTCCGACCCCAACGTTTTCAGAAAACAAGAATTTACTTACAGATGAGTACGAATCATCAATTCCCTCATCGACATCCGAAACATTTGGCGATATCTGGAAAAATTAAAGAAGAATCGGCAGAGTAGATAAAAAATTTAATTGAGTGAAGTAATTTGGAGCCGGAGTTCAAAATGGATAGGCAGTGCATTAGCAATGAAGGTAGAGGCGGTCAGTGGTGTAAGTAAAAAAAAACATGAGAAACGGCCCAGAACCCGAGAAACTGGACTCCTTCTTGTCCGTTGATTTTCGCAGTTGCGCCTTATCGGTGCTATCCTCTTCAATGATAACGCTCTCTCTCTCTCTCTGCCAAACGGCTAGAGTCAGACGGCGGGAGGGTGTGCGAGCCACGGCGCGGGTGTAGATAACTAGGTCGCTAAGGACACACTCTTCACTGCGAAACGCGCACCGTCCTTCGTCCTTAGGGGATCCGCCTGTGATTCGCATTTCCCTTTCTCCAACATCCAAGCTAATCCGAGATGCTGATTTACTTTAGAAGACAATTCGAGCCCACCGAATGTAATCACGACTCTGGATATACTAAAGAACAAACAAACCTGTGGTGTGTTCTGACAGCAACTTCCTTCAAGTTCATCGATGCTATCTTTTCCGGTCACGCTGCTTCCTCGAGACGATGAGCGACTCGCTCCGCTCAGTGGCGTTGCTGGAGCAGACGGAACAGTCGAAGACGAGGGGCTCTTTGGCTGAATGGAGTATATAAGGAACATGCACATGCTATCTCTTCAATCGCAAAAGAAATTAAACTCGCAGAGTTACCAACCCCTGGTTGACTGGTGGACATCACCTCTGTCCATGCAGGTCCTGCATAAGCATGGCTTGCCGCTTGTGCGCGAGTGATTTCGTCTGTAGATTGGAAACGTTACAAGTGTAAAAAAACATCATTAGCAAAGGTTACGGCTTCGAAACTCCAGCCTTGAACACTGTGAATGTACAGCCATGCTTGTAAATTAAAGCTAACAATTTCAGCTATCACTCCATGACAAAGTAGCAGTTAAATGGACGTAATCGGTGAATTTCGATGACCAAATGATTTAGAAGGTGCACGAAAAATGCCTGAGGCTTCAATTTCCCGCTTTTTTATTGAGGAAAAAAAGGAAATTATTACAAAGTTCCAAAGTTGCTAAACAAAAAGCTATATCTATTAGCAATATGAACCATAGCTATCGATGACTTGTTACCAATGACTTAAACGAGAGTCGATGCCGCGCTCTCAAAAGGTTGGCGTTTTCCAGCTAAAGAAGGCAATGAGGTCGATTTCGAGGTCTCTCTGGATCGTATTTTTCGTCCGTAAAGCCGCTATTGATCAATATGAGTAGGCAGTAGTTGGGAGGAAGTGGTCAGCTCTGAGCGGTGGATCTGGTATGGCTTCTGAACCAAGCTCAGAATCTGAGTTGTGCAAATGAAAGAAGTGGTTTCGGCTGTTGTGAAGCGGAAATACTTCTTTCAAATATAACAGTTTCTTTTTTTCGTCGATTCCCCATAAGCACACGTCCTTGATTGTCGATTACAAATCAGCATACGTCCTTGATCACAGTTGGTTAGTCGCCTAGGTTATTTACAGGCCTTTCTGGTCGGTGGTGGTGGGGTCCGTTCGTTCACGTGGTGCCACTAAAAACTGTTCACTCTTCGCGGACATTTGAACGCTGGGGACAGGTCCCCTGACAGGCCGGCCTACGGAAACTAAGCTAGTCCAAAAGTCCTGAGCGTACGGGAGGCTCGCGTTGCGACGTTAAATGCTTGGCACGTTAACGGGCCGCTCGTACGAGTTAGCAGAAGCTCTAGAGCGCCGACGGATTGATTTCTGTGCCGTGCAGGAAACGAGGTGGTCCTGCTGCAGATCGAGGGATATTGGCGAGGCTTCAAAGCCGTTCTCTGTGGTCCTAGAACCACCAGTGGGTCGGAGTAGTTGTTTCTGACCGCTTCCGTGACTCGATCGTAAGCGTTGATCGCTTTGACGACCGTCTAATGAAGATTGTTGTCGTCATCGAACGTAAGCGATACCACTTTTCTGCATATGCTCCGCAGACTGGCTGCTCTGAGCGAGCCAAAGACGAGTTCTGGACCCTGCTGGATGAAAAGACCGCAGATGTACCGTCAGAAGAGGCTGTCATTGTCGCAGGTGACCTTAACGGTCACGTTGGCGCTGCGAAAGACGGTTACAACTGTCACGGTGGACTCGGATAGGGCCTGGTAACACCGACGGCGTATGAATTTTTGAGTAAGAAACTTACTATCAATCGCTACGAACTAGGAGACGGCCACCACGCAACGCCGCTTATTTGTACGCTGAAGATCTCTCCTCCGAAATGAACAAATCGAGCAGGTGGCCGTGAGATCCAACATTTGGTTACCGGCGGTCGAGGCTGCTGATGAAACTTGGAGAGGCTCTTTCTGCTCATTCCAAACTCGGTATGACAAAACCTGGGCGACGGAAGATTGACAAGCAAGCGTGGCTATGGACGGACGATGTTAAAGAAAAAGTACGTGAAGAAGAGGCTATACCACGTATTTCTTGGCGATAAGACTGTCGACAACTGGCGGAGTTATCAGGCAGCTAAGAATGCGACAAAGAAGGCCGTTGCTGCCGCAAAAGCTGCCCACTTTGCTGATGTCAGCGAGAAGCTCGAGACGCGCGATGGTGAACGCTATGTTTATCGCTCGCCAAAGCCCGCCATCGCCAGTCCGAGGACATCGAGAAGTTTTTCGGCATCAACGACGAAAATGGTCACCTCCTGACGGACCGCAAGAAAGCAGTGAAGCGATGGCACGATACTTTGAAAACATCTCAGCAGAAGTTGCTCATCAAAGTTCTTGAAAATTCGCATGATAGGGTGTTTCTGAAAAAGCCTTCGAAAGAAAAATGTGCTCAATATAAATATAATTTCGAGTGTAAACACCAACTTCCATTTCGAAAACACGAAAATTTTTTATTTTCATTTTTCAGAAAAGGGCCACTTTGCCGATTGTGCAAAAATATAAATCCACCCCATGTTTCTCGGTTGAACTTCATTGTTATTTGGCGTAACTGTCAGGTTGTTTCCACTTCCTCTTTCTTAGGTGATGACGGAAGTAACACCGCTGTCGGACTCCGAAAAAAAGGCGAAATCTGCAAAAGAGTGGGGAGATTTGCCATGCAGTCAAACCGCGCGTGATTTGAGCCCCGCTTATGTGGTTGTTGAGCATTTCGTCAAGAATCCTGCAGCATGTGGAATCCAGAAGAGCACTGAACCCTTTTCTTCGCGTTTCGGTTGCGATGACCGTAGTGTTATGGGAAAAGCAGCCGATTCTCCCAAGGGGTGCTCAGGAACTCAACCTTCAAAAAAAAACCTAATTTCTTGAAAGTCACCGTTTGGCGTGTGTTAGAAGAACTCTGAGACCACTCTTCGACGGAAAAATGAGTAAAGACACAAAGCCATCCCAAAAATCAAGCCAACTCTTCCATAATGTGTGCATGCTGCGCCAGCTGCATTAAGTTCGGCTTTCTACACGCTACTTTTTACTGTCTGTCTGAATTTCTCTCAGTTTTTTTTCTGCAGTGTGTTTGGCAGAGACAGGAACTCATATTGAAAAAGGAAACCAGTAAGAAAAGTGAAGACAGCCATCAAAAGGTACTGCGCGGCCAATATGGCCTCGCTCCGGCCAGATCGACCACTGATCTTGGGAAACTTGGCTTGATTTTTGCGATGATTCCGGATTTTTAAATGTGTCCTACTCATTTTCCGTTGAACAGTGGTCTCAGAGTTCCTCTAACACACGCCAAACGGTGACTTTCAAGAAATTAGGTTTTTTTGAAGGTTGAGTTCCTGAGCACCCCTTGGGAGAATCGGCTGCTTTTCCCATAACACTACGGTCATCGCAACTGAAACGCGAAGAAAAGGGTTCAGTGCTCTTCTGGATTCCACATGCTGCAGGATTCTTGACGAAATGCTCAACAACCACATAAGCGGGGCTCAAATCACGCGCGATTTGTCTGCATGGCAAATCTCCCCACTCTTTTGCAGATTTCGCCTTTTTTCGGAGTCCGACAGCGGTGTTACTTCCGTCATCACCTAAGAAAGAGGAAGTGGAAACAACCTGACAGTTACGCCAAATAACAATGAAGTTCAACCGAGAAACATGGGGTGGATTTATATTTTTGCACAATCGGCAAAGTGGCCCTTTTCTGAAAAATAAAATTTTCGTGTTTTCGAAATGGAAGTTGGTGTTTACACTCGAAATTATATTTATATTGAGCACATTTTTCTTTCAAAGGCTTTTTCAGAAACACCCTATCATGCGAATTTTCAAGAACTTTCCAGGTGGATTTATATTTTTGCAACGCAGTGTATACATATACCAGTTTAGCTGCGCACGATACCGCGCGCGAAACACAACTGAACAGGATGGACTCTCGTGACAGGGTTAACGTACGTTTCGCAGTTCTCAATGGAGAGTGGCATTTGGGTTGTTTGGGAGGGACCGCATTTGGGTTTGGTGAAGGGAAAAAGTACGGGAAGGGGAACGGAGTTGTTCCTATGTATTTTAGGGTGAAGGACTGAATGAGGGAAGTAGAGAAGTTCCCGTTTCAACCGGGACATATACCCCCCTAGCGGCGACAGACACACAAACACACCAAACTTCTGCTTTATATATAGAGATGATTGCGCTAAGCCTTCTGTGTGTCTGTTTGAAAAATTAGGTACTATCTAAGGAACCACCTTCAGAGTCCAGGTCAAGTTTGGGATGGGTAGAGAATGAGTCAGGCTACACGGGGCAGACATGGACCATGGGAAACTCCGCCCACAGTGGGCGGGGCATGCGTCGAATTAGGAGCTGCCGACGGCAGAAGTCTCGAGTTTGGGTATAGGTGCAGCCAAAAGACCGGAAAAAATGGGTAAAGGTGTGCACTGAGAGAAAAGTCGAATCTGGGAGACCCGCCCGTTGTGGGTGGAGCGTTCTCTGCAGGAGTGTTTCTCAGTAAGAAAAACTCATAACTCTGGTATGAGAAAGCCTATTGAGCCGTAGTAAAATCGGTTTAAGAGAACAATATCTAGGGTGTCCTAAACATACCTGAAACTTAGTGGAAGCCCGCCCACAGTAGCGGAGCGTGTCCTTAAGTGGGCAGCGTTTATTGCAAACTCGTCATAAGTCGGTTCAGAGAAGTCCCAGAAACCGAGAAAAAAGTGGCAGAGGTTAGAAAAGGAGGGAAGTTCAAGGGTGAGCGGGGGGGGGGGGGAGGTGTGAAATTACCAAAGTGGGCGGAGTTTGCCACAAAACCTCAAAATTAGCTTCTTAGAGACCTTTCCGAGCCTACATGATAAAAGCCGATATTTATGATCAATATTGATTGATACCGCGTGACTCAATGCAATTTTGATTGTTGCGACCCCATCAATCTATAGTGTGATTAGTAAGCAAATCTGAGCCTCCCAGACAAAAACCGATATTTTCAATCGATATCGATCGATAGCATGTGAACCGATAAAATTTCCACTTTTACCACAGGCCCCAATCAATACTGTGATTCCCAACCTCATTCGAGCCCTCTGCGCAAAAACCGATATTTTCAATCGATATCGATCGATAACATGTGACCCATCTAAAATCCAACTCCTACGACACTACCCAATCAATATTGTGATTCGCTTAGCAATTCGAGGCCTCTGCACAAAAACTATATTTTCTACGGAGATTTCGCGTAAGTCCCGCCCACCTGACCGGGCTCCGCCCACTACCGTACCCTTTCTAACCAAGCCTTGCCTTCATCCCTACACGCTCTAGGGGCAACTTCCTACCCATCCGGGACCATGCCTTAACTGTTTTCTTGGGTCTACGTAGCATGCGAGCCTAGCGGTTACAAACAGACAACAAACACACCAAACTTCTGCCTTATATATAAGAGGGTATATATTATATATATATATATATATATATATATATATATATATATATATATATATATATATATATATATATATATATATATATATATTTTTGCAAAGAGAAACTATTACATATTCAGAAGTTTATTTTTATATACAGTAAAACATATCCATGCATCACTGAAGAAGGTGCTCGAAATGGCCTCCCTCGGCAGTGATACAGGCTTCAAGTCTCTTCTCAACTGACATCACCGTGGGCCGCAAGTAAGTGACGTCAACGTGACGCGAGAAGATCATTCACACTGGAATTGGCGCACAATTCTCAAAAGGACAGGCAATTGTTGGATCCGGCTAGCAGACATTCTGCTCGACGTTGTGCGCACACAAGGAGCCGATTTCCAAAATCTGTCATGATTTGGGCAGGAATTACTTCCGACAACCGAGACACCGCTTGTCTTTGTGGACAAATCCGTCAAAATTAACGCCCAGATCTACCAGGAAACAATTTTACGTGATGTGCTCCTTCCATGGACTGTTTCGACCTCCAGCAAATGTCAGTGCCTTCTTCAGCAAGACTAGGCGCCTCCCATGCCGCAAAATCTACGCTGGTGTTCTGTGACCGCCATTTTCCAGGTTACTGGTCACCAGATGTTTGGCCATCTAACTCACCCGATTGAACCCAATGGATTTTGCGGTGTGGGGCTTCCTGCAGCAGAAGATGCCTTCTAGGCAACATCGAAGTTTGGACTTCCTGAAGGCTTCCTAGGAGGAAGCGTTGAAGTAACTCGACGAAAACTGCTTGCGGCCCACGGTGATGTCAGTTGAGAAGAGACTTGAAGCCTGTATCGCCGCCGGAGGACTTCTTTCGAGCATCTTCTTAGTAATGAATTGTTATGTTTACTGTATATAAAGAATAAACTCTGAAGATTTAATAGATTCTCTTTTTGGAAATATGGTCAATAACCATGCGCCAATATTTAGTAGCCACCCTGTATATATGTACCTTGGGAACCAATTGAACATGAAAGCGATCTGACTGAAGAGCTAACCAGACGCGCAGAGCAGGCTGGGCTGCCTTCAAATCCATAAGAAGTGTAACCGAGGATACTAGGGATAGCAAACTGCGTGCGGATCTATTCAACTCAACGGTTCTACCTGCTCTTACATACGCAGGAGAGACTTGGACTCTAACTAAGTCCTTAGAAAAACAATTGAAGTCCGCCCAGGCATCGATCGAACGCCGTTTAGTGGGTTTCACTTTGAGACGACAACGAGAGCTAGAACTTCACAATTCGGACATCAGGGCCATATCGAAAGTGAAAGACGCCCTCCTTCACGTCGATGAGGCAAAACACAGATTCGCTGGTCATTTGATGAGGAGAAATGATGGCAGATGGAGTGCTGCAACTGTGCGATGGTACCCGCGCGAAAAGAAACGGCCACCCGGCCGTCCTCCAGTACGTTGGGCAGACTCTCTAGCTTATCGCAACAACGTATTTGATCCCTTGTCCCTTGAACAACAGTTCCAGGACGAATTTACGAGGTAAAAACCGTTGATAATGTAGTTATAGCCCACAATTTGACCGACAGTAATGAAAAAAAAACCAAAGAAAAACGCGGAATAAGGCTTTGAACAGGAACTCACCCTCTGCCCTTACGTGCTGGAGGAGTTGTCCGAACCTGCGTAATAGTTGGCTATTTGCCAACTCTTGCAATTGGAGTGCAATCTCTAGCTCATTCACTAACAGTTCGATCACCCCTCAAACTACTGCAATTCGACCCTTCCATTTAGCTGGGGAGCCCTTCCATTTAGCTGGGGAGCCTTGATAATAACTGACTGACTTGGTAGCCATTACAACAGATTACAACATTACATAACACCACATAACATAACAACATTAGAACAACAAAAAAAGAAGCAATTCCACTGCAACCGGCAGGATCAGATTGATTACTTTAAAGGACAGAGTTCAAATACTCCCTGTGGTCCCAAACGAGCACGAATGCCTCCGTAGCCAATCACGGCTGGCAAGTGGGCGGTCCCGAAGAAATTTCCAACCACACCCATCTTTGAGGATTTAAACGCCCTTTTTGGGCTTTTCCCAGGTGAGTTTTCTTTATAACTTCACTTCAGATGTTTTCCAATAGGGCCTGCGTATACTTTAGTGCCATTAGTATTGAAAGAAGCAGACCCTGCTAGGACTGTTGCTTTAAGGTGTCTGTTCATTGGAGAAGCATAGCTTAAGAACGAGAACGATGGAAGAGAAGTTGGGACCCGTGCAAGGCCAACCGCCAAGCTGGACGGGTCGTCTAAGTATTTGTGTGAGGAGTATAGTAGCGCATAAGATTTACACGCAGCGACAATGATAAGCATTCACAGCGCACAGCAAAGTAACCTGCTCATATTAAATCGAGAGCAAGAGGTTGGCCTAGATATCTATTTGAGCGGTGCTGACAATCTGACCGAGAGTATATAAGACGGAAGCAGCACTATTTATTACGCTACTCCGGGGCTGAGCGTACAAGAACCACAACGTTATGCCGAAGCACATTTGCTAGCTATTGCTCATGAACCAACTGCCAATGAAGTAATCCAATAATCAACCATTGAATCTGAGTACTTAATTGAAAACTTCTGAATCGAAAACTTCAAAAGCAAACCTGGCGGAGGCAATTCCACAAGTAGAACCTGTGCGAATTTCTTCCGGTCCAGGACAGCAAACATTATGCTCTCGTTTAACGGCTTCCTTCTATCTTCTTCAACTTCGGCCAATGAATCGCCTTTTGACCCACTATCGCAGTACACCTACAAAAAAATTGTTTCGCGTAATTCAGGAACTCTCGTCACAACGTTTTCTGAAATTTAAACTGATATCACGAGAAGCTCACTAATGGCACTCCCGAGAAGCATTGTTGTAGCAATTCAGCAAAGTTTGTGGCTGGCGAGTCAAGTAATACCAAACCATTCGGTTGCGTATCCCGTTCCAACACTAACCGAGAAGCAACTGCCGCCCTCTGGCCATCTCCGAACATTGAGCCAATTAACTGCTTCACTTGAATTACCTGAATATATCAAAACGAAGTGTTGTAAAGACTAAGAATATTGAAATAAAAATCTCACAGTACGCAGCTCAGGATTGACATAGACGTAAAAGGAAGGGTAGATGAGACGAGCTGCGATATCGACCCGTGCAACACGAATAGTGCGGCCGTTTGGCGGAAAGACTGGATAAGGGATGCCTAAAAATAAATATAGGTAGGTGGACCAGAAGGTGGATTCATCATTCGCAACCTGTCCTGCTTTCTCGCGAGTGCAGCCACAAGTAAGTGACTTTCCATCACCCATCAAATTACTCGAATCTTACATTCAATTTGCACTGGCATTATGTCTTAATTAAAGCGGATGGTCTTAATAAATCGCCGCCCACTAAATCTGGGGCCGAGTGCAGCAAGCCCCAACGAGGGGATGGGGACCCATCCTTTCTTCCCGAGATTGGGGATGTGCCCCCAAAGTTGGGGATATATCCCCCAAGTTGGGGACATATCCCCAACGCGGGTGAGGGGATATGTCCCCACGGCTAGACATATCCCCAACCTTGAGGACATATAATGGTGATAAAGAATTTTGGAAGAAGTCGGTAATGCGCGGGAAAAATAGGTACCAAGATGCTGACGCGCTTGCGCGTCAGCCTGTCGTCAACCTGTTAATCCCGATACCGTATCATGCCAACAAACACAGTACTTTGATCGGACGCATTAGCTAATATATAACGCGCTTCCAAACTGAAGAGCAAAATATGGCAATAACAGTACCATCATTTAACCAATCCGAACCAGGGTCCTCCTCTGAAGATAGCGTGACAAGGCAGGTGGCGTTCGCCAGGATTAGGGTTTTCTAGGTTTTGATGGCAGCGTCCTTCGCCGCGATACAATTCTCTTCTCGCTTCCTCGAACACAAGGTTTCCAATTGTTAGTTATCATATCTCCCCTTCTTCCACACCAAATTCTCATAACATCCGCCCTCAAGCTATTTTTATCCTCGAGTATTGAAATCTGTCGCAAATATAAATGGCATAGTATGAAATGGCACTCACAAACTGACTGATGCAAAAGCTCAAATCTGAAACGAACCTCTGGGCCTCCAAACATCAAGCAAAAACATAAGAGTGTTAGATCTTCCCGGTGATAGACAAGTCTCGATTTTCTGCAAAGGGTTGACATCATTGGTCGGACTATATTCTACCGGATATCAAAAGTGCAAACCTTGGCTAGATCTGCCCTCGATACATACGCTTCGTAAATAGTCAGACCGCGTTCGTTGGCAACGCGTATTAGACGACTATGGTGACGAAATATGACAGGACTGTCGCCCTCTTTAGCTGACGCTCGAGATTTCTCTTCAAAAAACTTCAACGCCTGAAGAGAAACCAATAACACCGAATCTATACCGGAATGATTGAGCACTCACTTGATTATAAACATCGCATAAAACTTGTGTACGAGGCATATCCACAACATACGGCTCACTCAACAAGTTTTCGTCGTCGCTCACCATATTTAAAAGAACTTTGATCTATAAAGGATCCAGAGGTTATTGTTTTGTGCAGAAGCATTCTTAGAAATACTAACATTAACTAGATTCATTTGATATATTCGTTGCCTTTCTCGTTCTGCCTCCTGCTCCCTCCACTGACTCTTTAGTTGGGTGATATGCTGCGGGAGATCCGCCGTGCGGATAAACGAGGAGTTGTTTTTGTGTATCTATAATCAAATCAAAAATAATATGGCTAGTTAACATCGACGACTAATATGAGAGTGAATCAAATTCAACCTTCCTATACATAAGCATGTATGCATTCGTGTTGCTGGTAGACCATCCTCCATATGAGCCACCAAAACTCTTTGCAATTTCTTCAGGGCCTACTGGCTCTACGCGAGTGTCATTGAAACAGTACCACCGACCTTGATCCATATTTCTACAAAATCCACCAATTGAACATGCTTGAACTGATGAATAATAAATACTTCACATGACGAATTAAGCGTTAAGAAGGAGATCATACTTGATATGTGCAAAGTAGTGCCCTCCTGCAGCACTGCCTTGATGAACCATGACAGAAAACAATTCGTAGACGTAGGGCCCTCGTTTCAGTAATTTGTCCACGTACGCACGATCCAGCTGTTGACCAGCGCTCACCGTTTCTAAATAAACGCTTGATTCGAAATGAAACAGCATGACTAACCTATGACAAAGTAGGGAGGAGCAAAACCAACATATCCGAACATGATACCTACGAGGTGATTGCTTACCAGAAAAGCAACTAAAGTAAATCTAAGCGACATCAAAAATATGGGAGCAATATTTTTTCCTACTCCCCACCCCTGAAACATCTTAATTCCTACATCACACAAAAATAAATATGTTGATTTAAAAAATACAACATATCATCTGGGACCAGGTAAAATTATTAGTGCGCACAAGTAGAAACACTTGACTAAGTTCCGATCAACACAAATCACGTAGGGACCGAATAGGAATAGTTGCCACGTTGGCCGCTGCTCGCGCGGCTGTTCACGATGCCTGTAACACAACGGTGAGTGTCCGACTCGGTCGGCTCTGCCAACGGCAAAGCTGTTTGTAGCGTGTTTGCGCCAGAGCGCGTGTTAACGCTCTTTGCACTGTCACTCGCTTTCATAGTCTGCGCCGTCCGCACGGACCGTGCGGACGGCGCAGACTATGAAAGCAGCCAAAGAATTCCCCGGAGATCTACCGATGCGGCCTGAAGGTGGAAAAGATAATTCCCTGATGAGCCTTCTTCCTGGATGAGATTTATCAATTCATCATTGATAAAGCGTTACCACAAAAGATTGAACTTCCGTAAATGGCTACCCTTCCCCAGTTTGGGACTGCTGCACGGAAGTGCACACTGACATGCTTTTCAAACCTATTCTTGAGGATGGCCCAGCAGATGCGAGTTCGAATTCACCTACATCTCGCCTTGTGCAAACCTTTCCGGCGAAATAAGACTTGCGTCGCTCTAGAGAGCGCGAATTCCGACAGCGTATGAGCTATAGATCACTGCATTCACGTACTCGTCTAATAATCCTTCCTATCCCTTCTATATATAAAGCAGCTGTTTGGTGTGTCTGTCTTGTTTGTTTGTTTGTTTGTTTGTTTGTTTGTTTGTAACCACTGAACTCACGTTACGTAGACCCAAGAAAACAACTTGGGCATGGTCCCGGATGGGTAGGACTTTGCCCTGGGGTGTGTACGGTCCGTTAAAAATGGATACGGTAGTGGGCGGAGCCGCCCTTATGGGCGGGGCTGGATGGTGCTCATTCCAAACTCTGTAGAAAAAAAACGCTAAATTCTGCGTTTGTAAAATGCGATTAATTCAAGTATTACAGTATTGATTGGGGGGTGTGGTAAAGGCAGGAACTCCATCGGAATACATGCTATCGATCGATATCGATTGAAAATATCGGTTTTTGCGCAGAGGGCTCGAATGAGGTTGGAAATCACAGTGTTGATTTGGGACCGTGGTAAAAGTCGAAATTCTATCGGGTCACATGCTATCGATCGATATCGATTGAAAATATCGGTTTTTGCGCAGAGGGCTCGAATGAGGTTGGGAATCACGGTGTTGATTTGGGACCGTGGTAAAAGTCGAAATTCTATCGGGTCACATGCTATCGATCGATATCGATTGAAAATATCGGTTTTTGCGCAGAGGGCTCGAATGAGGTTGGGAATCACGGTGTTGATTTGGGGCCGTGGTAAAAGTCGAAATTCTATCGGGTCACATGCTATCGATCGATATCGATTGAAAATATCGGTTTTTGCGCAGAGGGCTCGAATGAGGTTGGGAATCACAGTGTTGATTTGAGGGCGTGGTAAAAGTCGAAATTCTATCGGGTCACATGCTATCGATCGATATCGATTGAAAATATCGGTTTTTGCGCAGAGGGCTCGAATGAGGTTGGGAATCACAGTGTTGATTGAGGGCCGTGGTAAAAGTCGAAATTCTATCGGGTCACATGCTATCGATCGATATCGATTGAAAATATCGGTTTTTGCGCAGAGGGCTCGAATGAGGTTGGGAATCACAGTGTTGATTGGGACCGTGGTAAAAGTCGAAATTCTATCGGGTCACATGCTATCGATCGATATCGATTGAAAATATCGGTTTTTGCGCAGAGGGCTCGAATGAGGTTGGGAATCACAGTGTTGATTTGGGGCCGTGGTAAAAGTCGAAATTCTATCGGGTCACATGCTATCGATCGATATCGATTGAAAATATCGGTTTTTGCGCAGAGGGCTCGAATGAGGTCGGGAATCACAGTGTTGATTTGGGACCGTGGTAAAAGTCGAAATTCTATCGGTCACATGCTATCGATCGATATCGATTGAAAATATCGGTTTTTGCGCAGAGGGCTCGAATGAGGTTGGGAATCACAGTGTTGATTTGGGGCCGTGGTAAAAGTCGAAATTCTATCGGGTCACATGCTATCGATCGATATCGATTGAAAATATCGGTTTTTGCGCAGAGGGCTCGAATGAGGTTGGGAATCACGTGTTGATTTGGGGCCGTGGTAAAAGTCGAAATTCTATCGGGTCACATGCTATCGATCGATATCGATTGAAAATATCGGTTTTTGCGCAGAGGGCTCGAATGAGGTTGGGAATCACGGTGTTGATTGGGGGCCGTGGTAAAAGTCGAAATTCTATCGGGTCACATGCTATCGATCGATATCGATTGAAAATATCGGTTTTTGCGCAGAGGGCTCGAATGAGGTTGGGAATCACAGTGTTGATTGGGGCCGTGGTAAAAGTCGAAATTCTATCGGGTCACATGCTATCGATCGATATCGATTGAAAATATCGGTTTTTGCGCAGAGGGCTCGAATGAGGTTGGGAATCACGGTGTTGATTGGGGGCCGTGGTAAAAGTCGAAATTCTATCGGGTCACATGCTATCGATCGATATCGATTGAAAATATCGGTTTTTGCGCAGAGGGCTCGAATGAGGTTGGGAATCACAGTGTTGATTGGGGCCGTGGTAAAAGTCGAAATTCTATCGGGTCACATGCTATCGATCGATATCGATTGAAAATATCGGTTTTTGCGCAGAGGGCTCGAATGAGGTTGGGAATCACAGTGTTGATTGGGGGCCGTGGTAAAAGTCGAAATTCTATCGGGTCACATGCTATCGATCGATATCGATTGAAAATATCGGTTTTTGCGCAGAGGGCTCGAATGAGGTTGGGAATCACAGTGTTGATTGGGGCCGTGGTAAAAGTCGAAATTCTATCGGGTCACATGCTATCGATCGATATCGATTGAAAATATCGGTTTTTGCGCAGAGGGCTCGAATGAGGTTGGGAATCACAGTGTTGATTGGGGGCCGTGGTAAAAGTCGAAATTCTATCGGGTCACATGCTATCGATCGATATCGATTGAAAATATCGGTTTTTGCGCAGAGGGCTCGAATGAGGTCGGGAATCACAGTGTTGATTTGGGACCGTGGTAAAAGTCGAAATTCTATCGGGTCACATGCTATCGATCGATATCGATTGAAAATATCGGTTTTTGCGCAGAGGGCTCGAATGAGGTTGGGAATCACAGTGTTGATTGGGGGCCGTGGTAAAAGTCGAAATTCTATCGGGTCACATGCTATCGATCGATATCGATTGAAAATATCGGTTTTTGCGCAGAGCTCGAATAAGGTTGGGAATCACACTATTGATTGAGGGCTGCAGTAGTAGTGGAAATTCCAATGGGCCACGTGATATCGATCGATATCGATTGAAAATATCGGTTTTTGTCAGGGAGGCTCAGATTTGCTTACTCATCACTTTATAGATTGATGTGGTCGCAATAATTAAGATTTTACTACGGCTTAATGAGCTTACTCATGCCAGAGTTCTTCTTATTGAGAAACACTCCTTCAGAGAACGCTCTACCCACAACGGGTGGGCCTCCCAGATTCGGCTTTTCAACCCAATGCACACCTTTACTCATTTTTTTTCGGTGGTTTTGGCTACACCGATAGCCAAACTTGAGAATTCTGCCATGGGCTGCTCCCAACTCGACGCATGCCCCGCCCACTGTGGGTGGAGTTTCCCATGATCCATGTCAGCCCCGTGTAGAGAACTTGACCTGGACTCTGATGGTGGTTCCTTAGATAGTACTTAATTTTTTCGAATAGACACACAAAGGCTTAGCCCCCTATATCCCCTCTATCCTCTTATATATAAAGCAGCAGCAGTTGTTTGGTGCTGTTTGTTTGTTTGTAACCAAGGGCTCGCACGCTACGTAGACCCAAAAAACAGTTAAGGCATGGTCCCGAATGGGTACGAAGCTGCCCCTAGGGCGCGTAGGGTGAGGTAGGGCTGCTGGTTAGTAAGGGTATGGTAGTGGGCGGAGCCCGGTCAGGTGGGCGGGGTTTGCGCTGGAACCTTCTTAGAAAACATAGGTTTTTGTGCAGAGGGCTCGAATGAGGTCGGGAATCACAGTGTTGATTGGGGGCCGTGGTGAAAGTCAAAATTCCATCGAGACATGCCATCGATCGATATCCCTTCTATGTATATAAGCAGAAGTTTGGTGTGTTGTCCGTCTGTCTGTTTGTAACCACTTGGCACGCTAGGTAGACCCAATAAGACATCTAAAGCATCGTCCCGGATGGGTACGAAGTTGCCCCTAGGGCGTGTAAGGTGAAGGCAGGGCTTGGTTGGAAAGGGTACGGTAGTGGGCGAAGCTCGGTCAGGTGGGCGGGGCATGCATTGAAATATCCGCAGAGAATATAGCTTTTGTGCAGAGGCCTCGAATTGCTAAGCGAACCGCAACACTGATTGGGCAGTGTCGTAGAAGTTGGATTCTTAATGGATTCTATCGATCGATATCGATTGAAAACAAAATATATCGGTTAGTTGCGCAGGCAGTGCCAAAATAGGCGGTTCGGGAAACCACACTCATTGATGGGGGCTGCGTAGGGTAGTGAAAACTCCACTGCGCGCACATTGCCATCGATCGGCCGCGACGGCGGGACCCCCGCCGACTCACACGGGGAGGCGGCCCGGACCCTTCACGACCTCCTGCACATGGGGCTGGCCAGTCCCGGGTCTTACGCGGTCGCCGGACCATAGGGCGGCGGGCTCCCTGGGTTCCGAGCGGAGTCCCCGGATACCCCGCGGCGTTGCGTGGCGGGGGCGGCAACGCTCCCTCGCACGCCGGCGGCGGCCCACAGGTGCGCGCGCTCCGCGCCGGCCGGCCGCGGCACCCGGGGTGGCCGACCCCGAACGCCGGCCGCGACCGGGCAATGTATATCGATTTGAATAATATGGCGTTTTTGCGCAGAGCTGCTGAAACTAATAGGGTTGGGAACCACACTACTGATGGGGGATGTTGTGATAATAAACACTCCTTTAGAGAACTTTAGAGAACGCTCCGCCCACAACGGGTTGGTTTCCCAGATTCAGCTTTTCGGCTCAGTTCAACCTTTGCACACTTTTTCCGGTCATTTCGCTGCACCTATTCTCAAACTCGAGACTTCAGCCACCGGCAGCTCCTAATGCGACGAATGCCCCGCCCACTGTGGGCGGACTTTTCCATGATCCATGTCTGCCCCGTGTAGCCTGACTCATCCTCTATCCATCCCAAACTTGACCTGGACTCTGGACGTGGTTCCTTAGATAGTACCTAATTCTTTCGAACAGACACATTAAAGGTTTAGCGCTATCCCTTCTATATATAAAGCAGAAGTTTGGTGTGTTTGTCCGTCTGTCGCCGCTAGGGGAGGCATATATCGCGGTTGAAGCGGGAATTTCTCTACTTCCCACCCTCAGCCCGTCACCCAATTACATAGGAACAACTCCGTTTCCTTGCCTACTTCCTCAACTACGGCTCCTCCCGAATAGCTCAAATACCACTCCTTTAGTTGATAATAGCGCAACGCCCTTTAATCCTGCCACGAGAGGTCCAATCATCTTCGTGCGTGTTTCTGTGCGCCAACTGGGGTAATATCTGTGCGCGGCGGTCCAAGATAATTTTATAAAGTGTTTCTTGCTCTATCGATCAGCTCCTCAATGCTCACGGAGGGCTAAAGAATCACTTTGTATAGGGACAGGTAAAAATGTCAACTTATGAATCAAGCAAATATCATTGCTGATGTGTTAAAATGGCAATAAGTTTTGCCGAAAATGTGTGAGCGATCAACGCACTTATCACCGGACATATGCGAAACTTCAATGCTAACATTTTTGAAAGACCAAATCAATCAGGTACAGGAACTTTACCCACATTAGGCTCAGAGTTATGGAGTTCCGGCATAAAGATCAAGGATGAAGATATAAGATATCGAGATGCAAAATTTTTCACACAACATTGGCTTACCTGCGTTTACACTCCTTGAAACAGAAAGTTCCTCGTTCGGAAATTCAGCACTATTTGGTGGATGAACAAAGGGGTTAAGATCAAGTACATCAGGGAACGTCATCCTGAATGAATGAATTTCCGTAATTTTGTGAAATTACGAGTAGATACTACTTACCTATCATTCAGTTTTATCCTATGCATAGTGTTGTAATCGAAATCAAATCGTTTGAGCTGAATGGTGAGCAGGTACGGGAACTCTGTTACACGTAAACCCTGTAAGATGCTGTTTGGACAAACTCAGAAATTTCTAACAGCATAGCAATCTACCTTATGAGCATCTTGTTTCGAGTTACATCGTTCACAAAAATACTGATTACTTCCATCGAGGAGTTCAGGGGTGATAAACGCTTGAAGAGCCTCTTCCTGGAAAATACTCCCTTATAGAATGAATGCGACTGGGATCAATAGAAGGACCTTCGTTTTTCTATACCGGCCTATTCTCACGGCGATTTTTTCATATAAATGACTAGGATGGGTTAACAAGCATCCAGAAATAAAGAGGGAAAGGCATGGGCAACAAGGGGGGGGGGGTGAACAAATCTGCAGCTCCTTTGCAACTAATCTAAATAAAAGTATTCATTGAATTCGAGGGAAAGAAGTGAGGATAGGTAAGTTAAAGAGAGAAGTTCCTTGAAGTCCGAAAAATAAGCATAGAAACTATGTATATATACAGGGGAGCTGAAAAAAGACTCACTTTCCTCCGATTCAAAACGGAATTAACCACAAGTCGCGAAACCAAACCAAATGAGCCCAATGATATTAAAGAGCACATTCTAATCTATCAAAAGTTACATAACAGCCTTCTACACCGACGACATCAAGATTTTCCCACGGAAACATGGTTCACGGTACGAGCTCAACGAGGTCGTCGAGGTACCATAGACCATTACGACGTCCCTGAAACGCTGGTCAAAAGCGGTCTTGCACAGTCACAGCTAGTGTCTCTGGAAGCTATTCACCAGTTAATCGATTGAAGAAATTATGTAGCAGCTTCAGGCCGGAGCGATTACGGTAAGCCTCGTTGAGCTCGACGGTGACGGCAGATGACGTCATATTCTGAAGACGGTGGGGCAGTGAAGGAGGGCCTGCTTCTGCTTATGGGGGGACACCTAAGGAATATTCTGCCGTAAACATTCATCAACAACGGCATCCTGTGCGACGAAAAATTTGATGATGTGCGCCATGGGCAAAGTGACTCTTTTTTTTGCCCCCTTCCCATGTATTTCAAAGACCGTTGCTATGTGTCACAAGAATGCTGGGTTATGGGCAAAACTTTTGCCACAGGGTGAAATCGAGCCTGCACCTCTCATTTTTGAGCCATTGCGCTACCAATCACCATGTATGCACCGCACCACCTTGGAACCAACGAATGAGGAGGTGCGAGTTCGGTCCCCGTTTAAGACTTCAGAAGAGTTTTGTCCATATACCCCGCAAATTTAGCTGGGCGAACTGCGGTCAAAAACACCAGTCACCAATCATAAGCGTTGTTATTGTGTTCTATTACTTCTGCAACGATGTTTGTACGTGAACTTTACTTCAGCCAGCGCTTCAACCCTCAAGTTGGTTTTAGTATATTCACACCAGTGGCAGCCCATATGGGCTGCCGGCAGCAATCATCCACCAACCATTTGCTGCAAGTTTTGAATAATTTTTGTGAGTTACTCAAGAGAACTCTGTGCTATTTTTTGCTCATTCACTACAGAAAACCACAGCGCAAGGAGAGACGGCATCAAAATCAGGCCAGTTCCACCAGAAATGTGAAAAGGAGCGCTGTCGTGAATGTGTAAAAACCTAGACATAGCCACAAACTTCGGAAATACTCTGCAATACTCTGTATTGAAGTCCACTTGGAAGACGCGTTGGTTCATTTCTCAGACCCTTGGTATAAAAACTACGCAAAAAAATGCCGTGAATCTCCAAATATTCATTAACACGTTGACGACAACGCGCGTTTTGGGTTTTTGCACCGCGTGGGACCACGGCGATTTTGCAGGCGCCGCCGCCTCACATCAAATCCGTGAATTTTGAGCTTTAAATACCCAAAACTCGGATGCAACAAAATGTTTAGAATGATATTCGATGTGTCAAACTTATCAGAAGGGACAACTGTAAAAAATCGATCGAATTGACGTTTTCTGGCGATGAAAGGCAAGTTTCAGTTGCTTTTGCTGTAGTGAACCTCAAAATTATTTTTGACGCGGTTGCTCCACTAAAAACATATGTCTTGCTATATGTGTGGGTCTGTACTTACTTCTACTGCTCTTTTTTATGACCAAGATTATCAGAATATAAAGGAAACTAGGAATGAACACAATTGGGAAATTCGTAGGGCTTAGAAAACCTTCGCTAAAAAGGAGCATATTCAACCATTCAATGAACCTCGCCGTGTCTAGTCATATTATGGTGTAGTCTATGGAATAGATGCAAAAAAATAGAAAAGAAGTAGCGCATGCGCGAAAAAAATAATATTTTGTGTGTGCAGCGCATGCGCTGCACACGGTCCCACACGGTGCTCAAGGTGTGATGCGCATGCGCTGCACAATGTCGTCAACGTGTTAATATAATTGCTTCACTTACAAAATACAAAACGCGGTCAACTCACAACGCTGCGGAATGCTTCAACAGCGCCAAATGGCTTCACAGCAAGCGGAAGGTCGAGGAAAACGTCTGTTCGCAAACTTTCCCTACCGCACTTCAAACACTTGACGAAGTCCTGCATTTTTCCTCTGAAATGTCAACAGCGAGGTCCCTGATTTGTGACGCATGGTACAACCATTCCATTCACTTTTCACATACCTGTATAGATTTTGAATTAACTTCTCATTTTGAGTGCCTTTCCATTTGAGCTCTAGGGCGTCGAACATGAGCCGACAGAGTTCTTGGACATCATGTTGATCGTAAGCTAGGACCGTCTTTTCAAAATGGATTGCACGATAACTAACGGAAGAGTTGATCCACGACATACCTTCATTGCTAGACCACCCAAAACTTGCCGTCAAGTCTTTCGTTTCTAGTGAACCTAGGTCACTCGTTTGGAGTAACAAAAACAACTTCTGAATCTGATAAGGAATGCTCCTAGCTTCTCTTTCTCCGATGTTTCCCGATTTTCCACTGCTGCGGTACTCCCACCTGTGACAACATTTCATTATCGCGATTGATAACTTAGTTACAGGATGACGCACAATTCTCCGTTCAACCTGTTCAGTATTGAGACTTGAAAGTATCGCTGGTAACCACCTGAGGTAAGTTTTGGAGAAAATAAACAGATCTTAACTCAGGTTAGCTTCAAAGCTCACAAGAGCAAAATTATCCAAAATTTGCCTTTTTCATCAGCACACTCGCGTTTCAAAATGGATGGCCAAAATTTGCTTGAATTTTCAGTAGATTGTTTATCAAGAGTTTTGATGTGTTCTCCATTTCCTTGAAGGAGCTGCCTCTCCAAGGTATATCAGTAATTATGCGCCACCCTGCATAGCACCACAGCGCTCACTTGTATATGGCGTTTCTGAACTCTGGAGTCATATACAGAGACTGGACGAGGCTGTTGAGATAGCAAGTCATCGCCTGAGCAATGAGAAATCAACTTCATCTGAATGAAACCTCAGACAGAAAAAATACCTGATTGATGAGTCCAACGTATTTATGACCATTTTCATCTAATGGTACCTGACGAGGTACGTCACCATAAGTTATTGCAGCAGGCTTTGGAGCTGGAGCCTCTATTTGTTCTTAAAAATAGAAAATACAGAGGATGGCCTTGGCGTATCATACTTTTCTTTACTATTCTTTACAAAAAAATTGCTAAAGCATTCAGCCTTGCGATCCACTGCCAGTGCTGGCTAACTGGATCATCACGTTAAACGTGTGAGTGCTGACAAGGTATGTAAAATATACCATGAACAGCTGAGTTGGCGAAATGGTGCCGAGGTGTAGCGCACTTGCCCGGAAAGCGAGAGGTGCGGGTTCTAGTCCCGCCTGGGGCGAAAGTTTTGTTCACAACCCAGCATTCTTGTGAAACATTCGCAACGCGAACTTCAAAACAGCAGTTAAACAACAAACAAGCCAAATTTCCTTACTATGTTTGAATCCACGTGTTCGCTACGACCAAATCGCTGGTTCGCAAAGCCTAACTGGCGATGCGGGAGTAGCGAGTTAGCTGATGAGATTGCTTGCAGCGAATCTACGAGCCGCTAGTGGAATCTGCGGAGTCGCTAGCAAATTCGTAATTTCACTACTAGCGACTCTGCGAAACTCGCCACTAGCGAATGGCTGGAGGCGCTTTCATAGTCGGTCGTCTCACCACAAGGATCATAGCGACCGCAAACGCCACTTTCGCGAGGGAGGGGACGCGGCGTTGAGATTTAACAGAGATTTTAAAAATTGAAAAACAGAATAACCACTTTGGTGAACTTGAAGCAACAACCCCAGCAGAATCGTGTCGAAGAATCTATTCACTGGATGGGATGGAGTAGCCCTCGATAACAGATGTGTCGTTGTCGCGTCTCCAACGTGCGCGACAATGGCGCGATGGCTCTACAAAGGGAACTTGACTAATTTTATCCGCACAGCATGTAACGTGGATTACGACGTAGCGGACAGGATAGAAAAGAGGGAAATAGGGTAACTTCATCGCATTGATGTGTCATTCAAAGACCACCTCCAGACTCGTCCTTTCCTCATCATTCAACCGCTGTTACCTTATCCATTCACTCTGGGGTTGCTGCTTTATACAAAAAAATGAGGCACTGACGTGATAAAAAAAAGTACATACTGTGTACTACCTTCGCTAGTCGAAGTATCTGCAGCTTCCAGTGCTCGATCGGTGTCGAGGGTATTCGCGGCACGACCAAGTTGCATGTCACCCCCAGGAAGGCCGCAACGTGATGGATTGAACTGCACGCCAGGAGACGATGGAGAGCTTTCTAAGTAGATGCAGAAGTGCTTTAGCTAGTCACGAAGAAGCACTGCACTTGTGATGGAATAAAAAAAAGAACTGTTTGCAGTGAAAAATTGAAGGCATGCCACGGATCATAAAACAATTGAGCAGATCACGTTGGATCCGTAAACTAAGCGAACACACCTATTTCGCAACTGGAACTGGATGAAGGCTGCGGATCACCTGGCACTACGACCATGTGTGAAGCGCCTGAAAAAAAATCGAGCAACAATTAATGATTGGTAAACTGCAAAAAAAAACGTCTTGAACATGTGGGATAGTGTGGGGAATGACTCAGACAGGGAATACTATAATGGATGAAATGGATTAGTGTGCGGTTGAAAAGAAGATGAAGGCTATAAGCGCTATGAGTGCATACCAACTGTTTTTAAGGTGTAATTACAGTTAACCTCCCACTTTACAGCTTAGTCTCGAACAAGGGCTGGGGCTGGTATCAGAGTCCACGATGCATCGCGCAAAACGCGTGTCTCGCGTCGCAAGTGCCCAGATCAATACTGCGGGGTGCTTCTCCAATCCCGCCGCCATTTCTGCTTGATAGTGATGGCTGAATGACGACTGCTCATGATTCCACTTGTTTCATATTCAGTGTTTCAAATGTTCAAATGGGGCACTTGCAATTTTTGCGATCCGTCGCAGGTTTCGCGAAAATCGCGCAAATCGCGAAAATCAGCGAAACCTGCGACGGATCGCGGACTCTGACACCAGCCTTAGAGAAGAGAGTGCTTCAACAAGGAAAGTAGCTACAACATCACACGTTCAGTGGCGGGTCCTATGACGCAACTCTGTCTCCCTCAGCCGTAGGATAGGGCGCACGCATAGTCGGTCGTCCGACAGCAACGATCGCAACTGTCTGACTGTCTAACTGCATCTAATCGTCGAATACTCAGGCAAGTCCGACGATCGATACGCATCCAATGCTGTGCGACAGTTACGATCGTTGCTGTCGTCCGACCGACTATGCGTGCGCCCATAGGCCGTACGCTGAATGTTGGGGAGGAGATGGGGTCCCCGACCCGCGATGGTGACTACAGCAGGGTTTCGTCGTAGGACCAACCGGATAACGGTTGGCCCTTCGACGTTGTAAAT